TGCTAAATCAAAAAATGATGGCAGTTTTGCCGAATTGGCTCTAATTTTTGAGATAATGGATACTCAAATTATGATGTAAAATTCTTAGATTTATGTAAATATTCATCGAGTGCAACTTGAATTCGATATCATTCGTAATTGTCTATGCAGATTATTACCTTAAAAAGGATATGATGATATAGCATCTATAACACTGGTCAACACTGATTTTATTACAATTATATTAAATCGATTTTAGATAATGGTTAGATACTGATCACAGACAAAAAGCTTTTGTTTAGTTGCCAAGGATGTTTGAACGAATTTAGGGTATTTTGGAGATGCTAAATCCAAAAATGATGGCAGTTTTGCCGAATTGGCTCTAATTTTTGAAATAATGGATACTCAAATTATGATGTAAAATTCTCAAATTTAAATATTCATCGAGTGCAACTAGAATTTAATTATCTGAAGACATCTTAAAGACGTTTTAAAAATATCCCAATTTTGGACACGTTTCTATTTTGATACTGTCTGGGCTATCTTTTTAGTCTTTAACATGATTTTTACCCTTAACGTGATTATCCTGATGACTTACATAAAAGAAAAGTGTACATTGTTTTTTCTATACATTCAAAACGCCATATATTTCATATATATACTTTTGTATAATTTGAAACATTTCTCATTCTTCGGGAATAATCTACGCTTGATTATTACATTTCTCGCATTTTTTATATTTTTATAGGGACATTCATTATAGTATTATCTTCGATATTACGTTAAACTGATAGTTAGATAACTAAATGAAACACATGTTGCTCGCATGTATCGATCACCCTGCAACGTCGATTAAACGCGTGTTTAACTCGCGCACCGACCCATATATTACATACCGACACATACCGATGCGACAATGTCGAAAGGGCGAGCGAGATCGTGGCACGCATCCATATGGACGAGTCGGCCAGACAAAAAGTTCGATTGGGAGCTATACACGAGTCCGATTGAATCGGCGATGCGTGCTAGAGGCGCGCGTGGGATTTAATACGCGTTGCAGGTAGCCCGTTTTGACCGGAGGAAATGAATTGAACGCATTTCCAGTACTCGCCATATGTTGTTTGTTCCGCTAAAAGAGCTTTGTGTCGGCGCGAACACGCTCGAACGTATGAATGAACACGCGACGGGAGAAGTGAGAACGAGAGAAAGAGAGAGAGATGTATTCTCTCGGGTGTGCGAACGGTCTCTCGATTCTTCATTGTGCGAAGAAATTGGATAACCTGCCGGATAATCCGCGCGCATTCACGCCAACGCACGCGAGCACACGTAGGTATATCGATTAACTCTCGTATGATGAGATGTATTGGCGAGAGCCGAGATATAACTGTCACAACCGGAAGACGCACGGTTAACACACACGTTGCACAAGTGACACATACGGACTTGTAATTAACTTCGCAGAAGCTTAGCTAGAAATATATGGTAAGTATATTCACTGCTGAAGAAAGATACGTAGCTATTGTACAAATATATGCAAACATAAAACACGTAATTAAAAGGATTGACAGACCATTTAGTTAGACGAACATTGATGTCTTGGATACGGAACCAATTCTAGAAAAAAGACTAGCCTCTAAAATAATATAGATAAAATGTCAAGAAACAATTTAAATTTACAAAGTGACAATTCTATTAGTACATATTTACCAATAAATTGAATGATGATGAAAACTTGAAAAATTTTTAATGTCACCATTTTGTCCCTTTGTTGTTTTTTTATGTTTATAATCTAAAAGATTTATTTTTATTATTCGACTCTTGTTCATTTTAATCGTAATCGTTTGACAAGTGTTGGTATTCTCGAGACTATACAAAATTTTTACCTTATGTCTGTATCATTTATTTGTATAAGTACCCACTTCATTTATATAAATTATGTTAGTTAGTTTCTTTATTTTATGTTTTTTTTTATAAATCAATAGATACTGAAGATGACCCAATACCATGGTCAAAAAATCTATTTTGAATAAAAATTTTTCATCCGCAAGAATATATTTAATTTGGCGCCTCCCGGTTTATATTATTTAGCTTTCTATATTTATTTCTCTGATTATTTTTAGTTTTAAATAAATGATATAATTTATATTAAAAAATAATAAATAAAATTTGCTATAATTATAATTGCATATTTATTTCTCTGTTTATTTATTTTTAGTTTAGTTTTAAATTAATGATATTGTTTATATTAAAAAATAATAAATAAAATTTAATCGAGACACGACAGGACGAGTGGAAGCGTTATTAACGAACAGTATTCTAAATAATATATATGTCAATATACTATGGACGCAATGTAAATTTCCGAGACATTAAATTATGTAATGAATTATACACGTTATTAATGAGTAAGCTTAATAATTTAATTTAATATGTGTAACTGAAGAGGATCCAGTCGGGTTTGAAACGTTTTACCATTTTTATTGAGTAAACTTCAATTTTACATAACGCTCTAACAACAGCGCTTGACTCAATAGCTCATTTATTTTTCTAATTGTGTTTATATTCGGGAGTCTTATAATTTTAATTTAGTAAATAAAATTATCTATTATAATTGCATTATATATTGAATTAAAAATTAAAATTGTACCAATAAAAGTCTCGATATTTTTATCATGTTCCGATTTTTTAAAACTGATATGAAATTGGTTGATCAAGAATTGTTTACTCTAGATAGAATGTACCGCCGTAGCATCCTGGTTTAAAAAGCATTTCTTCATACAAATGTCCATGGCAGTCTGAAAGATTGATAAGTCCTGCGTCAATAAAAGGATCTGGAATTCCTTCTATTCGCGTCGCGTGATCGATTCGGACCGCCCAAGTAGAATCGTAGCGATGAATGAATGGCAACACTCATTGTCAGAAGAGCGCATGAAAAAATTTCTTTTACAATTGTAAACATTGTTCTTCTACCTCTTTTCTCTAGGCGGTACAAATTGCGCAAGAACGACAACGAGCGTAAATTGCGGCCGCGTGTCAATGGAAACGATATAAATATCATTTGCTTATCGAAATACCGTCGATGGATTTATTCGCCGCAGCCTCATAAATTATCTGCTATATTTTCGTGGTGTATATATATATTATTACATCGACACGTATACACATATGCGCGACGAAATATGAACTTGGGCTGTACGTCGAATCTCGAGTCGGATTCAATCGATTCGTTTCGATCCGAGCACGAGCACCGACAATTACTTTTATCGACGAAGACCCCCGAGGCCTATGACGATGAGCGACCGATCATTCGCTCCGAGAGATGGAAGATTTCTTCTTTTTTCTTTTTTAGCGATCTCCGTCCTCTTCATATAGAACGCAGTATTGTTTTCTTGTTGAAAGACAAAGCGCGTGATTATACACGAATCTCGAAAATATATCGATATATTGTAGTAAACTTTTGATGTACGACAGATTTAAAGATAATATTTATAGATAAGATCTATGTGATAATTAAAATTCGACAAGATTATGCAACACACTTCATTTAATATCTCGCGAATGATTAAAAAATTAAAAAAGAAGTAAAATGTTTATGTTCGTAAAAATGAAAAAAAGTATTATAGATATTATATACGATATTTTTATACCATAAATAATAGAGTTTATTAAATCTACATTTATCTTATAAATATATAAATATATGTATATACTAAAGAAGGCACATGTGGGAAATGGAAAAGACAGGGGTGTATATACGTAATAACACATAAGACTTTAAAATTTAAAATCCACATAATTCATTTTGTATAAAATATCTCTCTCTATATATAATATGCAATATCTCTATTTTTTCTTCTGTAGTAGTAGTTTACTTTCTTTACAAAACTAGGAATAGTGGTATTCACCTGAGCCGCGCTGTTAATTACACGCACGATAAAAAAGTAAAAATACACAACAACGGCTCGCTTATGAAAAATCTCTACATATCTTTTTTTCTCAATAATCATAGCGAGTCTTTTGCTTCTCTGCGTATAATACAATGACTAGTTTGTTCGAGAAACTTACATAGTGGATTTGCAAAACGCAAAGAGTACGGAAAACGATAATGCAACATACAGAGCCGAGATCTTCTTTTTTTTTCTTCTCGTTCCACGCGTCAAACACTTTTCTTTCCTCTTGCGGAAACACAGCTCCGTGCCCAACGCAGGTAAATTATAATATTTGTATTTGTTTTACTCGCTAATCATTAAGTGCTAAAACTGTACAATCCGCATTTGATCGCGTGCGAGCGTGTGCATATATATGATTTGACAAATCATCTCCCCATGTGACACTTTCGCGAATAAAAAATATTTAGTGCATCGCAATACGTCAATTTTTCCCAAACTATTTTTTATCAGATTTAGACACGTAAATAATATTTAAAATACATTCTCCGTACTTTCGAAACATTTTTTTAACTTAATATGACATTTTCCGTCTTTTAGAAGCTTTCTTCCAGCAAAATTATGAGGAATCGTTAGCGATATAGTTAAGTGTCATTGATCATCGCTACTCGACGATCAATGACACTCGAATACGCTCGCACGCCGAAAGCAATAACGAAATAAAACTCAGAAAAAAAGGAAAACTTGCAAATCGTCCTACTTCTTGATCTTTTCGTCTTGATCGCTTGTGCTCAAGTGTATCAGAAGAAATGAAAAAAATAAGAGAGAAATGGTGGCATGAAATAAAAAAAATGGCACAGCAGTTTCACGGGACCACATCACGCGGTAATCGAGCGGCTCTTTATTGCCAATATTTCTCACGTGCTCTGAGCGACGTGATCGATCTTTCGGAAGGACGAAATAATCTCTAAGTACTAGTATTATCAGCGCGCATGCAGTGAATCACAAAACTATTCATTCCCTAATTTCTGATTTCAGATCATTGATATTCTTCTAGGGAAGAAAACAATTTTTACAGATATAATTTATATTTAATATAATTATCTTTCTATAATTATTATATAATTTATGCATATGAGGGGGCTTTGGACATTTTATAAAATTTATTAAACATTTGTACACTTTCCTAGAAATTTGAAGTCAAAAATTGAGAAGAAATATAATTTTTTATGAGTCACTGCATGTTTGTTACACACACTTGTAAACCGATATTTACAACGAAGAGTAAAGATGAACAAACGAAATCAATTTTCATCAAACGTTTCGAGCTACTTATTTGAGGATTCAATTTCGCAATGACGCGGATTTGATATAAATTTTGAAGTGCGTGCAAATTAATCCTTTCTCCGCAAGTTAAACAAAATAGTAAAAAATCACTTGTAATTAATTTTTCCCCGAATTAACTCCAAGTGTAGTACATATCTAAAGTATCCTTTTCTCGAAATAAAATCCTAATTCTTTTTCAAATTTTATGCTCACTTTCCGGATGGAAACAATTCGATGGCGAAAGGATTAATCAACGACGATATTCCGCGAAAGCGGTTCATCGAAAAAAAAAAATACCGGACTGCACTATATCTCGTCGCGTTTGTACTGCATTTTAAGGCACTTTGAGACCGTGGGATTGAAACGTACGTTCGTTTCCGTGGTGTCGTGGGATCGCGCAAACTTTGAATCTTAGCAAGGATAACTGACTGATACCGGAACGCCAGGACAACCGCCCTCCTGATGCTTCGTGAGCAGCGACATCCTGCTGAAGGTTTTGCTACAACCGTCGCAGCAGTACTTCTTGACCTCGCTATGAGTCTGCAGATGGGCCCTGAGATTGCTCCTGTCGGCAAACGCGCGGTTGCAATGCTGACAGCTGAACGGCTTCTCTCCGGTGTGCGTCCGGATATGACCTTGAAGGAGCCACGGCCTGGAGAACGCCTTACCGCACGTATGGCACTTGCACGGCAGCGTATGCGTCCGAATGTGCATCTTAAGCGCACCCAGACTGACGTACACCTTCTGACAGTATTTGCACGAGAAGGATTTCTTCGCCTGGCCCTGGGCGACCGCGCAGTGAAACTGCTGGTGCTTTGACAAACCCGAGTACGTCGAGTACGACTTGTTGCAGTCTTTGCACGAGTACCTGGGCGACGTCGTGCTCGAAGACGCGTTGTTCACGCTCGGACTGCTTTTCTCCAGCTTCGTGTTCACGAGCGTAGGCCCGGCAGAGGTGCTGCCCGCGGAAGATCTGCCGCTGTCGCTGCTGGGTGACGAGGACAGGTCTTCCGGGGTGACTGGTGGAGGTGACCGCAATGAACCGGAACCCACGGAACTTGTGGGTGACAAACCACAGTGATCCGGACTGCTCCAGTGGTAGCTCCTGACGATGGGCCGTTGAATGGTCGGACAGGTCAACGCGCCGTGTGGCGGTGGCGAAATTGATGACGGATGATGTTCGGGAGACGAGTGTGGATATCCCGATACTGGATACGACGGATACAATTCTGCTCCGGGATAGCGATGATAGGTAGGCGGGTGATACGGCAGATAATGCGGCGGATATAAAGGAGCCGCTCGGGCCCAGGGCGCAGTGGCGTAGTGGGCCAACGGTTCCATCGGCGTATTCAGATTCAACGGTTCCAAGGGTGCCTTGCTCGCCATAAAGTGCAGCGATGCCGACGTCGCCGTTAGACCTGCCGTCGGCGTCGCCGACGTAGAGCTGTCATTGTGCTGGATCACCTCGACTCGCCCTTTCTTCGCGACCGGATGAATCGGCGCGATACCCGCCGGCGGCGTGATAGTCTTGGTCGGATAGTGATGGTGATAATGATGCAGCGATGGTGTATGGATGTACACCGAGTGATGAGTCGTCGGCGAGGATGGCTCTATCGTTAATGGCGCGAGAGATATTTTAGAGATCGGCGACGGCGGTGTTCTGGATGAGGCGCGTTGTGGCTGCTCCTGTTGTTCTTCTTCTTCATGCTGTTGTTGTTGTTGTTGTTGTTGTTGTTGCTGTTGTTGCTGTTGTTGTTGGTGATTGTGATGGCGATTCTCCGCGGTTCTCCTGAGATCTTCAGGCTTCGTGCTGAGATTCTCGGGCTCGGGAATATCGTCTACCCCTACGTCAATTATCTCGTCTGCAAAATACGCGTTACAAACATGCATGATAAAAAAGTATACTTGATAAATTACTATTTATATTAGTAAATTATTTTTTTTAGTATTACTATAATTTAAGTTTTGTTGAGAGTAAATAGTATTGATTAAAATAAGAAAAAAATGTCAAATGAACATGAATTCTACAATTTCTATCTTTGAAGATACAGGCTATTTTTCTATTTAAACTTATTGTCTATCGAAATCTCTCTCTAGATAATCAAAAGTGCGATTCAATTTGCAATAGAATGAATAATTTCACAATAATCACCTTTGACTTCAGGGGCTTCATCTTCGTCCTCGGACGTATAATAAAACGGCCGCTTCTTTAATGGACAGTGACTATAATTGTTCTTCTTCATGAAGTTGGGCGGCATCTCAGCGACAAGCATTTTGGCACTGTGATACCGTAAAGATACTTGAAATGTTCTTTTTCGTACTTGTTGACACCGTGACACTATCAATCAAGACACTTGTAGTGTTTCTCTTCTTTTATGTATCTATTTTATATTTTCATTTACTGCCACCGCAACATCGCGTAGACACAATGTTTTCCCTGTTCTTCTTATCTTTTATATTTGTCACAGATATTAATCAAATAATTACATTCTCGTCGAATCCTCGCAAAATAATAATCTTTACGCGGTTTAACGTCACTGCACTGTTATCTCACACATAAGTCCAGAGAGTAGTTCAGTATCTCCTTTTTCGAAGATAGGAACCGGCACTTCAATCTCTCCTCAGCAAAAAAGAAGAACCAAAATTGATTCTTCCCACACGTTCGTTCGAATATCATCAATCGATGATCGAGCGATTCGAACAGATCTAAACTCGCATGAAGCACGAAAGAACGCAATGTAGGTATACGCTACATCGACTAACTCCGAACGTTTCGGCTGCAAGCCGGTGTCTGACTGGCAGGGGATTGTGTGAAGGTCTCTTATAACTGATCGCCCCACCAACTAATTGCAGGTGGCCCGCACGTGCTCCCAAGCCAATACGGGCCTGCAGGCCCCGCGCTGCTTACCAATGGGAGACAGTCGGTTGTGGGCCGTTGGCCAATCGACGTATGTTCCACCGGCTGAGTTCCCCCATCGTCGGACTACGACGAGAGGTACGGGATGCCTGTGAGTGCAACGCGATTGTCCGTGTGCCCTCCTGCCTTTTTCATCATCCCTTCCGCTCCACTCGTCATTTCTCTCTTTTCTTTCTCTCCCCTCTCTCTCTCTCTCTCTCTCTCTCTCTCTCTCTATCATGCATATACACACACACATGCATATATAAGTTGGCAATGTGTGCATGTCATGTTATTCTCTACGGAGCAGATGCTGTGACCCCTCTTAGGGGACCCCTCCATTCCGCGCGCCATATATACATATCGCGCGCGCGTGTGTGTATTGAACCCCCTTCCCGCTCACTCGAAGAACTCGGCGACTCGCGTTTTTTATTCGAATTTCCGTTCGGCCTACCTGAACCCCGCAGCACCGTTCTTTCTCTCCCTCTTTGTACGAAAGTGGTTGTCGCGTCGGCTGTTTTGTGTGTCTCTACCTGATACATGCGCGTGTGTGCACGCTTGGCTATACAGTACGCGTGCGTATGTGTGCGAGCGTATAGAGGGCAGACACTGCTATCCACCTCCTGTTCCCCTTCTGAATTTCATCCTCTCCTCCCTCCCCGCCCTTTCGCGTCGACCTACGGTGCCAGATCTGAACGTAACGGTCGTGTCGCGTGCCACAGCATCGCCCACGCGCGCCGGGAACCTACCTATACACGCGCGTGCGTAACACGTACACGCGCGCGTGCTTGTGGGAGCACTCTTGTGCTCCCCCCTTTCGTGCGCCGGCAACAGAGATTCACATTAGATCGCTTGCAATTTTCGCACGAAGCAAGAAACACGCGACGTTCTATCTTCGTGATTCTACCACATAGGTTATTAGACGCGTGAAATGACAGAAAGCGATCACGTTTTTTTTCGCAGAATGCTGCCATTATTCGGATGTTGCTCGTGATTTTAATAGTCGAAATATCAATAATACTCGCAAATTTGAACTGTTCAATTTTAGGAAAACCTACAATTTTCGCTCCATAGTCTTCTTTCTTCTTTGTCTAGTTACATTTAAGTGATGAAAATAAGAATAAATAAAATCATAAAACTTTTTTTGCTATTGTCGTGTATGTATACGCATCGCGCGAGATTATTATACCGTGAAGCAAGATTATTCAAATCGAATGATCGCGAAATAATAGTCGGGGTAAGAGACCGGTATGGACAAGCGTCGCAAGAAAGTGAGAGCAAAGCGATTTTTGACATAGGATTCTTGTACTTGCCGCCGTAAGCAGTTCGCTCCGCTTTATTCTCCAGACTAGTTTGCTAGACGTGCGTATATGGACAATCACTTCATTGTATTATTTAATAATAAAGAAAAAAACAGAAAATATGAGAAAGAAACAAATTATTTCAGGATAAAAAATTTGGTATTTTGCAATATTAGACAAACCAATCTAACCCCTATAATAATTTCACTAAGTTTATTTTAAATATTTTGCAATGTTATATCACGCTTTTCAAAATATTGTAATAAGTAACAGTATCACAATACATAAAATTCGGTACGAATGAGATAAGACAATGTTTATCGAGAAAATTATATCAGTAGATTTTGTGAGTCCTTCGTACAAAGGGCAAAGAACTTCTTGGTCGAACGAACGGACTTAAGATGAGGCTGTGATTCTTTGAGATCATTGCACAATGAAGGGGCCTTATGCCGTCGTGGCGGCTATTCACCGTGAGAGGAAAGGGAAGAAAAAATAAGAGGAAAACTTTCAGCCACCGTACTTTTCTATTCACGATCGACGAAATATCCACCATTGTGAATCCAGTGGTTCTCGAGCGGCCACGATGTTCATTATTTTGTTGACGATCTTCGTAAAGAGAAACCGACTCGCAGATTGAGAGATACTGGCTCAAGGGGATTAAGAGAGAAAACATTCGCAGAAACACGTGGATTTTTTAAATCCTAAAAGGATTATCGGTTGTAACAATATCGAATTTCGCAATCGATTATAACCTGTGAAATTTTCCGGTATTTTTTTGCAAGTAAGATACTTCTACAGAAATTATTAATAAGATTTTTTCTTTTTTTCTTTCATGAATAAATATTTTATTTTTGTCTGTGCAAATAAAAAATTATTCTTATCAATATACGATTTATATGTATAATCGCGTCAAAGCATTGATTGTGATAAATTGATTAAATATTTTGTGTACAATTTCATTAAAGGGAATAATATAATAAACAATAAATGGAAATAATATATGTCATTGGAAACTGGAACAAATCTGAAAGACTTCAATATTATTCTTAATATCACTGTGCAGAAAATCTCGTTATAGAGTCTTTAAGACGAGATTTTGCTAGAGCCTTTTGCCTTTCATCGTATAGTTCAATCACAAAAACGAACCAGGATACAGGTGTACCTTTAAAATGTCAAAAGTTTAGACTTGCTATTCAAAACAGGACAAATAAGGAAACAAAATCATTTGTGCAATAGAATGCTCCAAGATTCATCGATTCATCAAAAGTTTCGTGTTAACAGGCAATACTTACAAAAGTTTGAATGATACATATAGTAAGCTATTCGAATAACTTACTTTATTAATTATTTTAAAAATGTGTGTATGTGTGTACACAAACAAGAGTAATAGAGTGTATCTCAGTGTTTTACATTCATTTTAAAAAATTTTTTTGCAGTTTATCCTTTTTCGTTCTATATTGTTTTATACACTTTATTTTAAACGTAACAATTTTAATTCGATTTTTAATCATACGTATTTTAATATACACGTAATTATTTTTAAATGTATTAGTGATTTTATTAACACATAGTACATAAACTTAAACATTTTTTGAAAATATACTGCAACTTTTAGACATATATTTTTATTGATATCACAATTTTTATTAATTTAAAATATATTTTTAAATTCTACATCTTTAGGAAAAACTTATATTATTGGTACAAATTCGCGCATAAATTAATTGTGTTATAATAAAAATTCTTAGTTTTTTCTGATATTGAAATTAATATTTGAGAAAATACAGATATTTTCTTAGATTAGGACATTAATAATTGTTAATTATGTGACAAATTTAGTTATGTGACAGATGTAAATTATCTTCTTTCAAAAGGCAACGGAACGATTCGTTGTGTTATTGAATTAGATGGATCAGTACTAAACTAAGTAATTTATTGTGAAATACGAAGACTACACTGAAAAAAAAATTTTGTTGGATTAACAAAAATTCTGTTCGAAAATGGACGAAACGGAATTCTGGTTGAATCTACCAGAATTCCTTTTAATGCAACAAATATCTTATTTGCACCAACAAACTGATTTGTTGTACAAACAAGATGCTTGTTACATTAAAAGGAATTCTGGTAGATTCTTGTTGCATTAAAAGGAATTCTGGTAGATTCAACTAGTAATTCCGTTTCGTCCATTTTCGAACAGAATTTTTGTTAATCCAACAAAATTTTTTTTCCAGTGTACATTCCAAAATTAGAAAATCTAACAACATCAACAAAGCGACTCTACTCTGATGTTAGATTCGGTGCGAGAAGAGGTAAAAAGCCCTTTTTCGATTCCTCCTTCCCTTCCTTCCTTCCCTTTTCGGATGGTATCTGGCACACGTGTATAGGGATCCACGGGCCCCGAAAATGGGTCTACGTAGCTAGTCTCGGTGGGGCCGATCGCATATGGTGGCGCGCACACACACTCGTATAAGCGTTCCAGCGTAATAGCCAGGTGTTTCAAAGGTGAGGCGAAAGATGGGGCGCCCCTCGAGGCGGCATAACAAAAAAATAAACCAGCTTCCTTCCGATGGGGCTATACCTTCGAACGCGGGGCGGCCACCCGGTACATACACATACGGGGATTCTCTATGCGCGCGCCATAATAATTATACAGATTTATTCGGACGGGCCCGGATCTCGGTAACGGGTTAATAGTAAACGCGCGCGCGCGAACTGGTTGAGTGTTCCGGGGACTCGTAACGTCGCGCGTCGGGTATCTTGCCGAGGGTCGAGGAGTCACACCTTTCATTTCCTCTCGCTGTAACGTGTAATTTACCACTTTGAGCGGGAAAACAAGAATCGTACCGAGATATACCGGCCGTAAACGGTTGTCTATATAAGTATACACTCGGCACCGACGTATGTATCTATCTTCGAAAAAAGCGAGCGTTAATTCTCCCCCAATAAATTGTTCACGACCATGGCCATCCTGATTGACTATATTATTATATTGTTACACACGGAAGGTGCCAGAAAGCGGGTTCGGAAATTAAATAGACATTAAATCTCTTAATCTTTTACGAAATAATTGGAAAAGTTACAAAAAAGTTAAGAAATGTTGAATTAATTAATAGATCAAACTCATACAGCACAGATTATTGCAATTATATTGCAGCAACGTTGCAATGCAACATTATAAAGACATTGCAGAGATATAAATGCACAAAATTCCAGCACACTTGTAGCAACATGACATTAATATTTCGGAAATATTGCATGTAATCCAAATTCTATAATTTATATATTGTAATATATATACATATACCCAGCAAACACCAAGTTACAGCTATATAATTGTTAGTTGTAATTTCCCACTCAAAAATATAATACGTGTATTATAACAATTATATTGTTGAGTGGAAAATTACAACTAACAATTATATAACTGTAACTTGGTATTTGCTGGGTATAATACTGTAATAAAATAATTTTTTGCAATATTGTACAATAAAAGATGTTAACGATAATCAATAATTTTATTATCTTCCAAAAAGCGGACATTTTAACATTGCTGCAATTCAACAGCAATGATGTAGCAACACTTTGCAGTGAATTT